AAGGCGCGGTGGAGCCACCTTGGAGGAGCCCGCCGTCAACTCGGGGATGGGCGGCGCGGTGGGGACGAGCAGGAGGGCGAAAGGAAAAGGAAACCAGCGCGAGAGAGAGAGAGAGAGAAAAAGAGAGAGAGAGAGAGAGCGAACCAAAAAGGAAATATGCTTTTCAAGCAGTGAAGACGAGCACGTTTCAAGCGCGCCAAGGCTGTTCTTGGAAATCACTTCCGCGACATCTTTGTGAATGGAACTTATCGGGGATCTTCTGACCCGGGTCAATCCAGACCCGGGTCAGCAGGAAACCAAAAACTGCAATGCAAGAAAAAAACAGCAACGCAGATCTTCGCAAACCCGGGTCAACCAATACGCGCGGCCGCCTCGCGGCTCGCTAACCCGGGTCAGCCAGAGGGGGTCTTCGCAGGATCCTGCAGGATCTGGCGCCCTGGCTGACCCCCGTTTGCGTTGACCCCCGTCTCGAGGCTCCCAAAGCTTTAGCAGGCTTCTGCTGCCGGGCCGAAGTGCGCGGGCAATCGGACTTCTGAGCTCTCCTGCACGGCATCTTCTTGATTACGTACTGCGCCCGTCTGCAGGCGCTGCAGGCATGAGGTCTGTCGCATCTCGCTCCGCCCGTCTCGGGTCAGTGGCGCCGGTGGTTCGAGGCGCGAAGGAGGTTTTTGTCCAACCGGGTGAGGTCCTCCGAGCATTCCCTGCCTTTCCAGATTTTGCGAAAAGCGTGGGAATCGGCTTTCAGCGTGCAAGTGGGCGCGACTGGCCTGGCCCCCTTCTCGGCCCTCCAAGCGGGCATCAATGGAAATCGACGGGGCGCGCAAAGCTATTAGGCTATTGCATCCCCGCCAGCGACTTCGGAGAGGACATTCATCTCACTGCGCGTTCGCCTGCACTCATCAATCGAACGTTGCGCGAGTGGTCTCGAGGCAGCTGGAGAGAGACGCGGGGGCGGGGGGGGGCCCAGAGTCGATTGCAGAGTATGCTACGACATCGCATCATATCAGCTTCGCTCGCTTACGGGGGAACCAAAAGGGACAGATACCGATACTCCCAGGACCTCTCTCGGGGTGCGTTCTGACCCAGGTTTCGGGGCGAATCCGGCGGTGGCGACGAGGGACTCCGAAGAGGCCCCAAAAAAGGGGAGAACGGGCGAGGGGGCAGAAGTATGGGCACCCCTTCCTCCTCTGACAGATTACCCGAAGGCCTGCGCCGAATCGGAGACCGCAGGAGGAGGAGGAGGAGGAGGAGGAGGAGGAGGAGGAGGAGGAGGAGGAGGAGGAGGAGGAGGAGGAGGAGGAGGGGGGGGGACTCCGCGGACCAGAGGGCGCACGCTCGACCTGGGCTGTACCACGAGCTGCCCCGTGCTCGGTGCCCCGTGCGCGCTGGCCACGTCTCGGGGCGCGGCCACCCCCGCAGATTTGCGCGGGGGCGCGCGGCGGTCGACTCGACTCCGAGAGAGAGAAGGACGAGTCGAGGGCGGGGCCCTGCAGGCCGCTCGGGGCATCGACCAATCGGGTGCTGAGGAGATGCTTTCTTTACTCTAAGTCGGGCGCGTCCCCCTACGGGCGGAGCTTGGACGAAAAAAGCAAGACAAGCTCAGCAAATATTCAAGAATAATCAGAACATCGAAAAATCGTCCGCACACTTTTTTGGACTATGTTTGAATACTCCTCCTGTAAAAAGGACAGGCCCGACTTAATTGTTACTGAGAGACTCCAGGAACGTCCCGGATGCCAGCTTCCCCGGCCGCGGAGGGGGCGGAGGCGTCGAAATTTCCTGGTGCGGAGGTCACGAGGTGGAGGACTTCGAGCCTGGCCAGCCGGCTTACTGGGGCGTTTCCGTGGGCGGGTCCTGCACGAGGCACCCGGTCAAAGCACTTCGTGGGGCATCGTCGGGCGTTGTACAAGTTCCCGCTCGGAGGCCCCGGAGACCAGCTCGGCGCGCGGGCCGCTTCGGGCCCGAGCGCCGCAATCCCCTCGGGACGGCGCAGTGCGGGGCTCTTGCCATGGAGGCCCAGAAGCCAGGAGGCCCGCCCGCAGGTGTTCCGCACTGCGTGATCGCGCTGGGTCCAGGTGCTCGCTGTTCGCGCAAGAAGACACACGCTGGCACAGCGGCAGTCGCGCATCCGGGCGACCGGTCGGTTTCGAGGAAGGTCTAGGCGCACGTGGCGGACAGTCCTGATTCAACCCAGCAGCAGCGCCGGGAAAAGCACGGTAACGACGCTGCTGGTGAAACTGCTTGGGCGGGGCTGGCAGCCCGCCCGACGGGCTCGAGTCGCGATCTGCAGCAGGCAGACCGAGCGGTCCAGATAGCCAAGGCTGCGTGTTGTCCGGCGTTCCGCCCATTGCCCCCGTGGCCCGATTTGGACCTCCAAGGTTGCCCTGGGACCCGTCGGGGGCCCGAGCCCAAGACCTCAGCCCCTTCTGGCCACCACCAGTGGGGATGCGCCGTGCGCAGTGCGCAGTGCGCAGTGCGCAGTGCGCCGTGCGCAGTTGCACATACTGGAGGTGCGCGGTGCGCCTGGAGTCACGCCGCCCTGTGAAGGAATTTGCTTTCGGAGGTAACGACCAACCATCGGCGTTGGGCTGCTCTGGGGGCAGTGTCGGATTCGTTGCAGCACGTGGGCGCGAGATGCCGTCGTCTTTCGGCCTTCGACTGCAGCGACAGATTGGCTATTGTCATTTGCGTCGGATGCGCAGCGATCTCGACGCTCGGCCCACTGGCCTTACTGGCCAAAGAGTGCCGTCCCCCGACTCGCAACAATCTCGAGCGATGGAACGATCGGGTGCTGAGGGGGAGACACCCGAACTTGGACCAACCATGTTTTGAAGCGCCCGAAGCAGCGCCACAGCAAGCCGCAGAGGCTCCGCCCTCCCCCAATGAGGAGGGGACGAAGCCCAGCGAGCAGTCCAGCGCAGTACGGGACGCACCACGCCAAGAGGACGACGAGGCTCCTTTGGTGCAGGCTGCTCGTGTAAGTCGCGCGGAGTCCTCGGACTCCGATTAGCCCCTGCCCTTGGTTGGTGGCTCTCTCGCGTTTGCCATCTCCCGGGTCCAGTGTAGTTCGGCTGGGGAAGCAAGACTGCTCGCGAGTGGAGGCTTGGTTCAAAATCCTCCTCCTCCTCCTCCTCCTCCTCCTCCTCCTCCTCCTCCACGTGCTCCCTCTTGTACCAGCCCTCCTCCTCGTTCTCCTCCGTCCTGGACTCCGCTGGGCCTCCCGAGGGCGCCTTGGAAAACTCTTAAATGTTCTTGCAGGTTCCTCGGGGCTTTTATGGAACCGTCTTTGGGAGCCTATGGGCTGTCTCGATGCTTCTCCCGAAACCGACCGGGCGGTATCATCAACACGCGGTGTTTGATGATACCTCCCGGATCCCTCGTGGGCGCCTCCCGAGGCTCTCTTGGGAGCTTCGTGGAGCGCTCTGGCTCCTATTGAGGCTCCTCTCGAGGCTTCTCGGGCGCCTCCTGGGCGCCTCCTGGAGACTCTCAAGGGTGTCGTATGGGCCTGCTGAGGGCCTCGGGGGTGCTTCTGGGAACCCTTTCGGGCCGATCGGGTCGCCTCACCGCGCCGTCTTGCGGTTTGATTGGGGCTCCTGCCTCAGCCTCTCGAGCGCATCGGAGGTGAGAATGTAAAAAAACGAAGAATCGTAGATTGTCCATCGGTTTTTCTCTGATTCGGACTCCTCGAGGGCTTCCTCGGGCCTGCCTTCACGGGTGGCGGGGACTCAGGGGGGGCCTCTCGGCACTCCTTGCGCGCTCGCGGTGTCCTCGAAGGCCGTCGTAGGAGCACTGATGGGCCTGCCGTGGGCCGTCCCGAAGCTCTCCTGAGGCTCCATGGCAAGCCCGGGAGGTCGGTGCCAGGGATTCGCGGAAGATGTTCTGTAGATGGGCGGGGCCTGGGGGGAAGTACTCGTAGATAGTACATAGATATGCGTACATGTATACGCACGGTGTATATACATATGTGCATGCGTATGGATATATACGCATCTACACATATAGATAGCTGAAGTATACATGCACTGAATAGTGTACATGCATACATAATTGTGCATACATGGTTGACGGCAATGTATATGATTGTGTAACATGCATCTTCAACAGGAGCAGTTATGCGGATGATCTGATCATCCCTCCCAACCCCCTCCCACCACGAGAATTGTCTTCCTGACTATACTGGGCGTTGATGCAGTCACCCCTCGAATCATCCCACAACCGTGACTTTGCAACCTGCAGCCCACCTCGTCGGACGTCGTGTCCAGCAGCCCTCTGTCCCGAGCGGGGCGGGGAGGGAGGGAAGCTTGGGAGGCCTACCCCTCGCCATCACTGCCTTGCTCTCGCCCTCGGCCTTTCGCTGGCCCCCTCTCCCTCGCTCGCTCTCGGCCCTCTCGCCCCGCCTTCGGGGACGCACTGACCCGGTCAATGCAAACCCGTGCTACTCAGGCTTTGCAAGATGCTGCAAACTCCTGTACGATCCTGCAGGATCCTGCACCCAAGCCCGGGTCCGTGCGCCCCTGGCCCTGCGGGATCCTGCATGCCCCAGCGCTCTGGCTGACCCCCGCCTGCACCGACCCCCTGTCTCTTGAACCCCGACGCCTCGCCCACGCCCCCGCCCTCGCGCTCCCGCCCCCGCGCGCTCGCCCTCGACCTCTCGCTCGCCCCCGAACTCCCTCGCTCCCTCTCGGCCCGCTCGCCCCGCCTCGCCCGCGCCCCCGGCTAAAACCGGGCTAGGATCGGGATAAATCGCTCCAGAGCGTTCCGGAGCGCTCTCAGAGCGTCCCCGAACGCTCAGGAGCGGCCGCGGCGCCCAATACATCCTCCAAACCCGCCGATTCTCAGAGACTTCGAGCTATCCCGATCCGATTTTGCCCCGACCTCCGCGCCGTTTTGCCCGCGCCCCCGGCGCTCCGCCCCCGCCGCGGAGCGCCCCCCCCTCCGTGGCGGCGCGGGCGGCGCAGGCCAAGGGGGCCCCCGCCCGCCGGCGGGGAGGCGGCCGGCGCCTGCTTGGAGGCGGGGCACCGGGACCTCGGCGCGCGGCCCCCGCCGCGCGGCCGCCCCCCGCCTGGCCGGCCGCGCGCGCCCTCGCGCTCGCCGCCGTCGCCGCCGCCGCCCCGCCGCCGCCTTCGGCGTCGGCGTCGGCGCCGTCGTCGGCGGCAGGTCGGCGGCGTCGTCGTCGGCGGCAGGCCGTCGGCGTCGGCGGCGGGTCGTCGGCGGCGGCAGCGGCGGCTGCGGGCTCGGCGGCGTGGCCGCGCGCGGGGCGGCCCGGCCCGCGGGGGGAGCGGCGGGAGGGCCGGCCGGCTCTCCCCGCGCCGCGCGCTGTGCCGAGACCGGGCGAGGGCGGCGCAGGGGGGGAGCACGGGACGGGAAGACAGGGCAAGGCCTGAGGGGCCCGCCAAGACGATCGACGGCGCGTCCCCTGGCCGCGACTCCCACGGGGACGGGGACGGGGAGGAGCGAGGGGAGCGGGGAGGGGGAAGGAGGAGGAGCAGGGAGAGGGATGAGGGGGGAGGAGGGCAGGGAGGGGGAGGGGGGAGAGGAGGATGGGTTGAGAAGGAATTGGAGAAGTCGAGGAGCGCGATGGGGCGGAAAAAGAGGGCGAGGGGGTAAACCCGAGCGAGGGATGAGGATGGGGAGGAATACAGGAAGGAAAAATGGCAGAGGAAGACGAAGAGGAGCTGGAGGATGGGGGCGAAGGAGAGAGGGGGAGGAGGGGGGAGGAGGGATGAGGAGGGGGAGGTAGTAGGGGAGGAGTAGGGGGGGAAGAGGAATGTCGGAGGGGCAAGATGCGGGAAACAGAAGAGGAACAGCATGAGGCACTTTACAAAGAGAAGGGGGGAAGAGTATTCCTCCTCCACTTCTCCCGCAGCCTCCCAGTCCTCCCCCCTCTCTCTCTCCCAGGAATCAACCACTTTACGTATCTCTCCTGGGGTGCGTCCTTGACAGATTGCCACCAGCCCTCTGGGCGTAGGTGCTTTAGGAGGTAAAATATTACGACCTCTTATCCCCCTTTGGGCCCCCTCTCCATTGGTCGTGAGCCCCCTCTCCCCGAGAGGGATTACAGAGCATTCAAGATGGCTCCAAGATGGCCCCAGACAGCCCAGCATGGCCTGCAAGATCGCAAAGATAGCCCACGATGGTTCAATATAGCTTGCATTATGCCTACACGAGGCTCTAAGGCTGTCCCAAGGACGGCTTCAAGTGGACACGAAGTCTCCGCAGGACGCCCCCGCGAGGCTCAACGCCTTCCAAACCAAATCAATCATTTTGCAATCTCTCGTTTTGGCTTCTACTGGGTTTTGACGCCTCAAGGTGGATCCAAGATGGCAGAAGAGAGCTCTAAGGGGGCTCCAAGACGGCCCCAAGAGCGCCCAAGAGAGCCCCAGGAGCGCCCGCAGGGGGCCCCAAAAGGCGATGGTTCGGCTTCCTTAGGGAGGGGATGTGGGATGGGAATCGAGCACACCCTCTCCTTCGATCGATGGCCTTAAAGATGGCCCGAGCGCCCTCAAGAGGGCCCCAAAAGAGGCCCAAGTGAGCCCGAACGGCAACCAACATGACCTCATGACGGCAACAATACGGCCCAAGAGGCTCCTATAGAGCAAGACCCGCGAAAGCATGCATGGACTGCTGGCATGCTCAGGATGATCCCCATCTTCGGTTTGACAGCTGCCCCCTCTTTGATCCACTGTGCTCCCACACTTCCCCGACCAACGCAGCTCGCATGTGCATCCTTACTGGAAGGCCTGGTGTACGCGAGGGGCCAAGAATTTCGGGGCGGATCCAGCCTCGTCTGCGAGGGCACCCGAGGAGAGGCCCCGAAAGACACGACAAACACACCACACACACGACCCGACCCCCACCCCCCCACCACCCCTCGACCCTCCATCCGGCCTCCTGCCCCCGCCGCCGACTCGCCTCCCCCCCCTCTCGGCGGCACGCTGAGCCGCGTGCGCTCCGATGAGGCTGAGCGGCCACCGCCGCATGAACGGCCGCAGGTACCCGCCGGGCACCGGGCCCGCGTCCTGGTAGCCGTCGCCCCGGGGCCCGCCCGGCCTCTCACCCGCTCTCCCGTCGACGTCGTCGTCGTCGTCGAGGATAGATCTTGGCCAGGATCTGGCGTCGCCGTCGACGTCGTCACCGGCCCCGGTCGTCATCGTCCTCGCCGACGGGCCTGGGGTCGGCGTGCGCGGGCCCTCCCACGGGCCGCCCTGCCTGGCCCAGTGCACCGGTGGTGGCCTCCTCTGGACGGGGTCCAAGGGCTCCCAACTTCGCGCTTCGCGCTGCGCGAAGCGCGAAGTGCGAATAACTTCGCGCTCTCGCGCCGCCTCCCAGGGGAGAAGAGGAGGATGAGGAGGAATCGGAGCCGAACCGCGAAGCGCGAAGCGCGAATAACTTCGCGCCCTCGAGGGCGCCCTTGGGGTCCGAGTGGACGGGGTCGGCGCTGCCTCGGCGGTGCGTCGGCGATGCACGGGCCGTGCACCTGCGGTGCATCGTGGACGTCGGCGATGCATCGACGACGCCCGCTCTCCCTGGGCCTCCTGAGTATCCGCGCTCCGAGCCGCGCGGGGTGCGCCGTCCTCTGGAGGGGGGGGGGGGAAACAACATCTGGGGGCGGACGGTGCGGTGGCGTCGAAATCCCAGGGGACTTCATGGGACAGCCACAGCCCCCGCACGGCTCCGGGACATGGAGAGGTCTCTGGCCCAGGGCACAGACACGCAGCTCAGGCTTCCGTCGCCTCGAGGGCTCCCACCGAGGATCAAGTGGCTACCAACTACCACGGTCCAGAAACAGAACCAGGACTCCTGGGTTTGGGGTTCGCTGGCAAAGCCGCTGATCTGGCTTCGAGGCAAAGTTCAAGACACTCGCGCACGGTTTTCAGAGCTATCCTCGACTGGCCCGGGGGTTCACGAAAATGAAGTCCAGTGGGCCCTGGAGGTGCAAGAACCGCCCCAGCAGTCCAGCAGCTCAGGTAGTCTTCAACAATATCTCGATTCGTATCGCAACGGCCTCATGGCTGTCGGCATCAATGCGCAGGCTGATAACCTGAATCCTGATCTAGTTGATCGTATGCTCTCAGACTTCTTGGAGGAGCTGGAGGGTAGCATCAGCAAGGAGGAGAGGTAGAGCATGGTGGACAGCAACAAGCAGTGGAGGGACTGGGTCGCCACGGCGATGCAAGGAGGGGCAGGTAAAGCACACGCCTACTCCCGCTCCCCCACCCCATGGCGGCCACAGGCCGCCAAACACGGAGGGAGGTGGGCCGGGAGGCCCAGTCACATGTTGCAGGCAGAAGCGAGTCAGCTGCAGGAGCCCTGGCGGTCCCAATCACACGAGAGCCCGATGTTCGAGGGGGAGCGGAAAGATGAAGTACTCGACAATTTAACGCCCCAACAAATCAAAACCGCAGCCCACACCTTTCCCAAACGCACCGGCTGAACTTGGGATGGTTCCACCCCGCTCATTTCGCCATGGTCGAATCGCTGGGTACGTTTCCTTCGGTTCTCAGAGCTGTCCTAACTGTCCTCATCCACAAACACAAGAGTGTTGGGGATACGCCGCAGTACCGAGGAATCGGCATGTTCCCTAGCCCCTATAGACTGTGGGCCCGCGCCAGACAGCTCGTGGCAAAAGAATGGGAAAGGGGCCATCGCTGGCCCTTTTTGTGTCACCAATCCACCAATCAGGTCGATCGATCTGTGAATTAGTTTATCTCCAGGCCCTGCAAGCAGAGCGAGGACAGTACGTCAAGCCCGTGCTGGACACGGGCGCTAGCACGTGGGACTTGTGTAACTACTACGAGCACGTGTCTCCAGATGTTCTCTTTGTCAAGGCCAAGAAGCACAACTTCAACAATCACATCTTGGCTGTGATGCTAAACCAGCACAAGTCCCAGCGCCTGGTGTCGTATGCTACGCTTGTCGCTCACGCAGGGTATGCCACAATGGGACTGCCTGCTTGGGATAATTTTGCTACGTTTCGCATCCAAGTTTAATTGTGTGGGCGACCTTCGGCTTGGCAGTCCAGGTATCGAGACGTCCAGTTAAGCGTCTTCATCGGCGATGTCCTTCAGCAGTGCCAGAGCCAGTCTCTGTTCACGGCCCTGCATGCTGTGACGGACGCCGCCCAAGATTTAGGGGATCTGATTGTCGACAAGCTGCAATTCAGCATCGCCGACCACAAGTCTGTCGTCCTAGCGTCGTCGGACACGCTGAAGCAGACGTTAGCTAAAGCCTTGGGGCCCCAAGGAGGCCAGCCGGGAGCTTCACCCCCGAATCTTGGCATCGATTATTTTGTAGGCCAGAAGCGCAATATGAACAAGCACTGGCCCAAGGACATGGAACGACACAAAAACCTTCACACGAGATTAGGTCGACTCGTGTCGCTCCGAGCAGAGGGAGCCAACATCAGCAACCTGTATACACGAGGACTCCAGCGACACGGAGGTTTTGGGAGCTGATGACAATGAAGTGAGGGACATCCAATCCAAGTTTCTGAAGGCCGTGGGCCCGCGATGCTTTACTAGATCTCGCTCCCTCGGCCTCCTCCTCAACGGTCTCACTTGGAGGGTGGGAGTTGGCCCGTGTTTATTCACCTGGGCCAAGATAGTGTGGAGAGCTGCCACTGCGTGAGACGGAGGAATCACCCTGCCACAACTTAGGGATTTAGTTGCCTTCATTTTGGCTGCTCCCCCCAAGAGGTGGTTGGACTCCAGGGGCCCCTTCGGAGCGTGCCTTCTCTCGCTCAGCAGACTTGGTTGGAAGGTCGTCAGTGCGTTCGAGTTTTCGGACAGGGATGGCTCACTCTTCCCCCTCACCTCGGTCTCGCCCGCCTTCCTCTCAGCCGCGCTGCACATGTCATGGCGGCACAGGCTGGCGGAGCAAGCGAGCGAGCGACTGGGGTGGGTGGGGGATCAGGTTTGCGTTTCTGCTGCCTTCAGCGTCCTCAACTCCCCCTCTCGTGCCCCCCGGGAGCGTTCTATCCTCCTCGCCGTCCTCTCCCCGAGTATATGGACCAAGTTTGGTTTTCGAGAGGCGGGTTATGAGGTGGACTGAAAATGCCCGTGTGGGCACGAGCATGATAGCATGTATCACAGACTGTTCGAATGCGTCCTCTCGGCGGCCGAGCGCGCTGAGCAGTTCAGCTTTGAAGGTATCGATGCTCTCAAGAATGCGGACTGGACTCATCTTCGGGCGGGCCTGGACGTCAAGGTTGGGCCCGAACACCACTCTAGCCCAAGCCCTGCAGGGCAAGTTGTACCTAGACGGATCGTGCCTCAAAGTAGGTCCTAAGTGTTATCACCGAGCGGAATGGGCTGTTGTAGTCATTGACCCTGCCACGGGTGAAGCCATAGCTGCGTTGGCGGGTCCTATTGGTAGAGCTTCGCCTCAGGCCTCGCCCGCGGCAGAATTCCTAGCTGCATACGCCGCGGTCAAACTCGGAAGTAATATCTCGGCCTCGATTGCCGACTACACTGGCACATGCAGGCTGCACGCCCCAAGTCTGTCCCCTAAAAATTGTTATTCCGGCCTTAGTTGCTCATTAAACACTGTGCCGGCTGGGGTCGGGACATCGACCTGATTGAAGTCGAGTCGCATCAAAAGCTCTCCGAATTAGAGCCACACGCAGAAGAACGGCGGCATGCTTCGGGAAATGTCGAGTCCGATCGGTGGGCGAAGTGGGCGGCCAACGAGCTGTTGCAATCCTCCCCTGCCGACAGTCAACAGACAGAATCGCGTTTCACATTGTTGCAGTGATTTCTACACTATGCTTGTAAGGTCTTGCCAAAGTGGTCTCCTGTTGCTTCCAAGCCTGGGGGCAAAGCATTGGTCAAACCTAGCAAGTCGAATAATCCCCCTGTCGGGGCTGCGTCCGCCCCTGGCTCCAATCTTGTGCCCCCTCCTCCCCGCCCGCCCCCCTGTGGTGTCAGGGGGTCGTTTGGTGCATGACTGGACTTGGAGCCTTGGGGGATGGGTTTGTAAGCTGTGCAAGACGAGGGCGCTTTCTGAGGCGGGGAAAGAGGCCAGGCTCAACGAGAAGTGCACTGGCAATTCCCCTCTTAAAACCCTCGCTGCTGACAGTCACGGCCACACGTTGGTGGTGGCCGAATTTGAGACAGGCGAGAGCTTCATCATTGCTTGTCAGACTTGTGGGGCTTATGCGGTCTCGAATCAACGTATTGTGTGCAGCTTTTGTCCCAGGCGTCTTTCGCACGCCCAGAAGCGTGGATCCAAGCTCCTGGCAGATTTAGCCCAGCAGGCCCGGGAGGAAGGGATGCGCCGCGAGGAGGACGGCGGAGGGCAGAGGCGGAGGGCAGAGGAGGCCCAGACCTCAGACGACTCGCTGCTTTCGTGGCGTGGGCACCCCGGTGCTCGAGACCCCTCCCCTGCTGCAGTGATCGCCCCCCCTGTTGTTTCAATAGATATCCTATAGCATGCTTATAGCTTGTCTATAAGGCGGATGATCCTCTATTGCTGCGGCCAAACTACATAAGACTTCTTGGTGTTAGAGTGCCGCAATACAGTTTATGTTAGAATTTGCAAATCATATACAAGTTAGGTGCAACGCTATAGTACTTCGGAACAAATTCATTAAGCACGTATAGATATTTATAACATACAAAATAAGCCAAATAGCTATGCTAATAAATAGCTAAATAGATGCAAATAGAGGCCGCTAATAACTTAAAACGTGTTTTTTTTGAAGCAGTTTTTGCCCCCCCCCCCCCTCCCCCCTTCCCCTCCCTCTGCTTGCATTCCCGCCTCCTCGCCCTTTTCCGCCTCCCCAGCATGCAGGGCTTGCGCAGCGGTCAACCACTGCAAGCGGTCACCCGACCATTTCGACCAGCGCAAGCGATCATCTGCCCCTTTGCTTGCGCAACCGTCGACCCACCAGCGGTTTCCCTACCGCTTTGCCGAATAGCGGTTCCCTACCGCTTTGCCGAATAGCGGTTCCCTACCGCTTTGCCGAAGTAGCGGTTTCCCTACCGCTTTGCCGAAGTAGCGGTTTACCTACCGCTTTGCC